ATAATTACTAAGACAGATTTTTTTTTTTTAATGGCAGAATAAATAGGGTATTTCCTGGCCTGCTCTGGGTTTCAAATAGGATTTTCACTTCCCCTTTGGGTTCTGAGCGTAAGGGGAGTAAGTGTCAAAAGGCAGGAGTGTTCCCAATTTTAAAACAGAGAGGGTGTAACCATGTGTAATGTGAGTCTCAATTTTGATTGTAGGGATGATGAAATCAAATCCCTCCTTAATCCTTACTGGGAAACGTTGAGGTGAAATTAGCCTGACTGCTTTTGTTAACTTGTTAAAATCCTTTTGAAAAGGAGTGTTTGAGTGTCATCAAAAGTGTCTCCCTGCTTTACCCCAGAGTCTGACAGACCCCTGGCCCACATAAAGATTGGCCTCAATGGAGTGAAAAATGAAAGAAAACCCAAATATATTATTTGCCTGGAAAAATCACAGTGCTCTGTGATATGCAACTCTTTCCAGCACTGCCATTTTTAAGATAGATGCTTAGTCATTATTAATGATAGTGTATTTCTCTAAAGGTCTCTATTTTGGGAGTAACTGAAACTTGCCCTTTTCCCCTCCGTTAAGGTTATTAAAATAATATACGGCTGTCTGTGTACATTGCAGTCCCTGTGCATGTACCAGTTGGATTATTTTTGGAATATGTGAGGAAGTTTTTTCCAGTTTTTTCATTTATAATGAAGTATTAGCTTGAACTTGAGGAGAGCTCCCTGTTCATATCATTCAGCTGTGCTGTGCAGTGGTTGGAGTCTCCTGATACTGCCATGACCCAACAAAAACACTTGACACAAGCTCATAAAATCACCAAGACTGTTTTTTCTCCCTCCCAAAACCTCCTTAAGTATGTTAATTGATAATGTGTCTCTGCAGCCCCCACTTGTGCACACAACTGTCTTTAAGGTTTAATTAACTCATTAAAAATAGCTGAACTATTTCAGGAGGAGTGCCTTATAATTAATAAAGGAGAACATCTTGTCCATTCTTGCCATTACTCAGATAGAGGCAAGCAGCTGGTATGACAGCAGCTGGTATGACAGTGTGCTTTTCCTGATGTGATTATACCAAGTTCCAGGGCAGGACCTTGCATCATTTGGTGCGAAGGACCTAAACAGCTGGAGATTTAGTAGAAAAGCATAGTTTGTTAGTAAGTAACCAAATAAAAGTAAGCTTGTAGGAAGAAATGGGAGCAGAAAGTGATGTTTCCAAGATAGAGCAAAATAATTCTCTTGAAATTCTGCCTCTGCAAACTCCAGGTTTTTTTTGCTGTGGTCCCCATTCATCCCACCTAAAATCAGATACTCAGTGGATTCAAATAAAGTGAAAGGTGGCCACAATCATCTTTCAGATGTGCATCTTGTCCTTACCTGCTGAGAAGACCTTCCTTTAGGCATCTCAGTTAAACTGCAGTGGGATGAGCATTGGCCAAAGAGTCTCACCCAGCAAATCCTCAAATCTGTTTTACTCTTCCACAGTCAGTCTGGAAATTTACCTTTTCAGATAAGGTTCTTCTCCAGTGGGAGAAGTTTCAGAAACCCCTTTCACAGCTGTGGGGCTTATAGTGCACTTTAACAACTCTGTCTCCTTTATCCATGCCCACAAAGCCTCAAGTCTATCCCTAGCTGCAGTCATTAAATCAGATTTGCCAGAACTGTCCCTAGTTGCAATCATTATATCAGAAATATCTGATGTTACTGGCAGGGAGAGTGCATATATCATCAACTTGCTCCTTTTTATAAGTGGTTCATCACTTTTACTGTGCTTCAGAGAAGCTTTTATGCTCATTTGTGAACAGCAGCAGAAATAAATGGTGGTTCTCCAGCTTGTCAATTATTTGCTCCTTTCTTTCCGTCCACTGTTTGAGTTCTTGATCTTGATTAAGGTATTATTTAATTCCTGCCTTTCTGAGCCCTTACCCTTGGAGAGATGTGTAATAGATTTGTGTTTAGGCACTACTGGGGGTTCTTTAAGAAAGCTGTTTTTCTTTGAAGAGTGACTAAGCCTGGGAAGTTCTCTCTTCTTTCTCATCTCTTCCTGGTAGTTAATAGACTTCACAAGGGATCTCACAACACTCTGATAAGCCTTTGAAGTTATTACTTACTAAGGTTTTGCTCTTTCTGAGTACTGAACATTGAATTACTGACTTCTGTTAGAAGCAATGACAAAAGATTCACAAAACCAACAAAGCCTTGCCTATAATTTCTGCAGAAAAATATCTGAATTTAATGGATAAATTGTGTTGCTGAGGAGGTTTTGATTCTGTTCCCTCCTCTGTCACCAGTTTGCCTTGTGATTTGTGGTAGCATTTTCAGTTGTGCCAGTCACATGAGATCAAAACCCATGAGTCAGTCCCCACCCAAATCATGAGCCTGGATTCCAGATCCAGGAGCTTTGAACAGAGATCATGCCGTACTTTTTCCTTAGTTTATCTTTTGTTTCTGGAATTTCCTCTGCCTATTCCCAGTGTGTCTCTAGCAATTAATGTTTCCCACTCCTTTGGAAGTTTTGGGAAGATACTGGAGGCCTCGTTTGACCTACACAATTAATTTTATTTTTGATCACCAAGTGAATCTTATTTCTTCCAGATTTCACATCTTTCTCCTTTTCCCAATGACTTCTGCATCCCTTAGCCTCACATGACCCATCACTTCTGTTTCTTTCTTGTAATTCAGCTGCTCTGTCCCCCCCCTTTAGTCCTCTGATATTTAGAGAGTTTTTCACCATTTCCTTGAAGGACAGAGAATGTGTAAAAAAATGCAGATCTGGGTAACCCTTAACCTTTGCATGAGAATATAAAGTTGGAGAGAGCAGGGAAATGGTGTTTCTGAGTCTCTTTCCTGAAAAACATGACATTGGTGCTTGCAGCACAAGGAGTGGGTGGTGAGGCCAGGCAGGAGGTTGCCTCCATGCAGGATGGAGACTTGCAGGAGAGCTGGAGCTTTGCTTGTTGCTGTGAGACAAGACCCCTTTGCTCTCAAGGTATTCGCAGAACTTGGCAAACTAGGGTTTTGCACTTACTTTGAAGGCAGTCAGGTGAAGAAAAATCAGATTCAATGAGTTTATAAGCCAGAGTAGTTCCAGAGAAGGTAAGATGAGAATCAGCCCTTCTGCCTGCACTCTCTCACCCTCTAATTCAGTCATCGATCTGTTTTTCTTCAAATTCTAGTTTATAACATATTGTTTGCAGACACAGTCATCCAGCTCCATTATGAAGGATGCAGTTATGATTAAGATGGTGAAAAAGCCAAGGGGAAATCTGGTGTTGTATTGCTGCATTCTCCCATAGCATTTGCCTCTTCTGAGGAAGGGTAAGAAGTTAAAAGTTCTTGGCAATGGTTTAATCAGCAACTGTGACTCTGCAGTAATTATGGCATGCCTGGTGGTGCCTGGTACTCCCATGGTGACATTGTTGCTGTTGCAACAATGAAATTTGCAGAACAGGGCTAACTATTTAACTTACAAAATTTTACAGAACCAGGCTACTCACACCTCAGGTAGATGGGACAATGCATCTTCTCATCCTCATGCCCTGCCACTCTTTCACCCTCACTGTTTGCTGATTCTTGCATATGCCATGGGCCAGACATATTGCAAATCCGTAGTTTCAAGACAAACTGCAGCCAAACTGTTCCTTCCTCTATCCAAATACCTCTAGAGTCTGTGTGTTTGAAACTGAATCTGAATCCAGAGCAAAATTCGTTACATAGCTCTAAACTTTATGGCAAGTTGGCTCCAAGCCTTGAATCCACACTCTCTCCATAGTTTGAAGACAAGAAATGTCATTTCACAGGCAAGGCCTGAATTTGTAACAGCTGGACATTTCTAATTTCAAAATGTTTCTAGTTGCGCTGTGGATGTTTCACAGAGCTGCAATAATTAGAACTGATTCTTTCTTTAAGACAGAGAAATGCTACCTCACAGCTTGAATATTAATAAGATAAAATTTATGAGAGCCAACAGAATAATATAATATTGTCTCCAAAGGAAGAGGGCATTTATTTGCTTAGCTCTTTCATCAGCCATTTTCAGACACACACTGTGTGCATAAAATACAGTTGTGCATAAAATGCAGTTATGCAACCCATGTGGGTCAACAACGGAAGGTTGGTTGCTTCACCAGGATTATAAGAATCTTATAAACACAATGGTACCACAAATTAAAATGGAAATCTATCAAAACTATTATCTTCCTGAAAGCTTTGGCCACAAGCATAATTATTGTAGAAGGATGTTGTCCTTGGACGCAGCTTTGGCTCAGTTCAGCTGGTGTTATTTGTATCCCTCCATGGCTCAAAGTCAGAATTTGCATGGCTAAGGACCATAAATTTTTAGAGGAAGAAATAGGCTGTTTCCTCAGTGCTAACACTAGCAGTTTTATATTGTTTTGTAGTGGTTTGTAGGCAACTCATTAGGTACTAGAGATAGGAACAGACTGAATGTGGTGGCTGAGATCTACCTTGAACCTCAGAAGGATTCAGATGGAGATTTATGTCTGGATCTGGTTGTTTGTGTTTGAGGTTGCTTTACTGGATGTGAAGAAGAATGAGTCAGTCCAGAGTATTTGGGTTTAAATATAAAGTACACATTTTCGATAGTAAAACAGTGAAGCAGATATTAAGCTGATATAATCTGCAGACTTTAATTGAGCAAAAAACCTGTCCTGAGCTTTTCTCTCCTGTTCACAAAGCTGGAATTCCTGTAGGATGAGAGTAACTGAGAGAACATCTTGGATGTTGCTTGCCATTAGCAAAGGACACATCTCCTCACCCAGGGCAGCCCTCAAGAGAGGCTCCATGTTGCATTTTTGAGCTCCTGACAAAGGCTGAATCCTGCAATAACTCCATTCTTGTGTTGATGATAAACTATATTAAATAACAGGCACTGCTGGTTATTTTTAAAATGTTTATTTTTTTGTGACATCCTGTTTTCTATCTTGAGGGAGGTAAATGACTAATAAGTCTGAAATCCATTTTTCCTCTCTTTCCATCCCTCAGGCTGGTATAGATGGAGAAAGCATTGGGAACTGCCCATTCTCCCAGCGTCTCTTCATGATCCTGTGGCTCAAAGGAGTGGTGTTCAACGTCACCACTGTTGATCTGAAAAGGTAAAAGCTGTTCAGTTTAATTGAAATAATGAAATGATCCAGTGTTTGCCGTACACAAAGGCATCACCTAGTTCAATCAGATTTGTATCTAGCCTAGACAGCCTGTGGTGCACACCAAAATAGTTGGGATTCAGGTTTGGTTGTTGGGTTTTTTTCACTTGAGGAATGTTTTTATATTAAACAGGGTGCTTGGGGGACTTTCAGAGTCTTCCAACCACAAATTACAGAAAAAAAAAAAAAAGAGCGCAGACTGATTTTCTAGGAATTATAAATATATGTGCAACTACCTGACCATAAAGATTAGTGATTTCATGACTTTTTTCTCTGTCTGCAGAAAGCCGGCTGACCTGCACAATCTGGCTCCTGGGACCCACCCACCTTTCCTGACATTTAATGGAGAAGTCAAGACAGATGTTAACAAGATTGAGGAATTCTTGGAAGAGATTCTTGCACCTCCAAAGTAAGAACTTGAGATTTTTTTTTTCAGTCAGTACTCTATTTCCTCAAAATGAAAGATGTCCTAAGAAGACTTCCTAAAAAGCGCTCCTTCCTACAACCTTTACTTACAGGAGTAATATTTATTTATGAAACTTGCTGGCTGCAGTGAGATGACTTCCATGTGTGAAGGTTAGTTGTGTGACTAATAACTGCAGAATGTTTTCTCTGTACACATTTCAGGATGCCCTTGTATGCAGAATTAAGGAGAGTGGTACCAGAAAAATTTTGTAGGGGTCTGGTGTCCACATTTTGCAAAGCTAAAAATAACTTGGAAGAGATGCTGAGAATTGCCACACAAAATATCTGTGCCAGGAAAAGCATTTTACAGTGAAAAACTGGAGGATTCTGAACTGTATGGTGCATTAGTAAGTTTGGAAGGGGAACTGATTACAGAGGATGAGAAGCTCTGGAGGCAGAAAAGTGCTCGTTATTCTAGTCGAGAAGTGACAAGAGCCCATGACTGGAAGTTATAACCAAAGTCAGATTAGAAATAAGGCCCAGATTTTTTCAGTAAGGAAAAGCTACCAAGGAAAGGTTTAGATTTACCAGATATGCCTTAGTTAGTCAAATGTTTTGGACTTAATACAAGGATAATGGGAAAAAGAAATTGTTGGCTTGTGAGTTGCACCTTAGAGTCTGTGAATTAATGAAATTTGGCTTGGTTCCTTGTGGAGTGTTTTACCTCCAAGTGATTCAGCAGCTACAGAATAGTCCTGAGGCAAAGGATTAGATATTTAAATTTTCTATACTCTGCTCCAAGATCACTGAAGTCAGTAGAAGTCTTTAATTGTGTTTATCTTCCAAATCAATATATTCCTTTGCACCAGATGCCTATAAAAAGCAATTCAGAGACTGAAATCTTCATGTCCCTTCACCTGGGTAATCCTAACATGCCTTGCTTTTCCATCCTGGGGATCATGTCCGGTGTGGGGGATTAGACATGACTGCCATTCATAATGGAGAGCCTTGGCTGCCAAACTCCCCCCCATCTTTCTGGAAAATTATGCTTCCTTCTGATTTAAGGCCACTGTGTCTTGAATTGTGGTAGCACGAAGCACAAGTACAATTACCTTTGTCTTGAAACCATCCCCGTGTAACTCTCCAAGTGCCTGCTTTGATAGGCAGAGAACAGATACTGTTAAGAGGGACTTGCCAAGCTGTTGTTTTGAGATAAATGATGGTGTTAACTACAGTTCCTCATAAAGGAGCTTTTGTTTTTCTTCTGTGAAATTGTATTTGTAGCCATCCCTATGATACTGGTAGCAAGATGTTACTCTTCACCCTGCCTCTGCTTTTTCAGGTACCCCAAGCTGGCTGCTAAGCACCGGGAATCAAACACTGCTGGAATTGATATCTTTTCCAAATTTTCTGCATACATCAAAAATACCAAGCAGCAGGATAATGCTGGTGAGTATGATCACTGCCAAATGTGCCAGGGAGTTTGTGTGCTTAGAAGTGGAATAATTTTGCCATTCCCTCATAATTTTCTTGTAAGGTCTGTTCAGATGACATCGGGTTCTGCTGCTGAGCAGTGGGAGATGGTTGGGTCAGTGGACTAAATCCGCATGTTTGCAGCTGAATGAGCTACATCTGCAGTAGTAAATAAAAGGCCACAGAGTGTTTAGTAGCCTCTTTACCAACAACCATGACATGACTCCTGTCCATACTTCCTTCAGCCCAGCTTCCTCACCAGAACAGAATCCTTTAGTGCTTGCTGGAAGTGACTGGTGGCCTGTGCTACATCCTCTGCTTTGCCCAGGCACTTCTTAGAGCAGTGTGTGCTGACTGGACCAGAACTGTGAGGGCAACTCGTGCCTTGACCTCTCTTACTTTGTTAGATGTGGCCATGAGACCCACTTACCTCATGATTATGTTATGTTGTTATAGCTAATTTGCTCATATAAACTGAGTTATATCAAGACATCCAGTATAAAATTATTAAATGAAAGAAGTGGCTTTAAGAAATGTAACTGCACTCGGTAAGCTCCAGACTTTCCTTCACATGTTTGTTTGTCAAAAGAAAGAACCCCCCCAGAAACCAGATGCCATTCATACTTACATACATCCCACACTGTCTTCTTAATGAAATTGCTGTTCTTCTCCACATTCCTTTTCCCTGGAGAAACAAGACTTCAGCTACTCTTAGCTCCTGTTGCTCCATGAAAGCTAATGGATTTACACTTCCCTATCCCTGGAGATGATATAGTAGAATATTTGCAGTCACTCACTGATGTGAATATAAGAATATAGGAATACCTCTTATATTGTTTTACTGGTTTCATAGTCAGAAACCTAATGCCTGTTGAACACCATGTGCTCATATCATTCAGAGAAAACTAGATTTTTTCAGGCTCCAGCTCTGCCACACATTTCATCTGTGCAATTATATTTCATTGCCTGGGGCTGACCCATGAGATAAAAGTGGGTAAATGATGATTTATGTCAGATAACGATCTCCTCCACCATATTTTTGTGTTGTTAACAGAAGGAAATAATTACAGTGCTTCATTTCTCAGTGATTCTAAAGAGTTAGGGGTTTTTTGTCTAATGCTAATGAGATGCTCAGCTAACCTCTGTAGGAAGTTGTAAAAGGAAAATAAATTAAGAGTTAGACTAAATAGATGTTACAATGAAAGTAAAATATCTTGGCCATTTACAAGGAATTTTTATGGTCTGCTCTGCAACTGTAAATCTTCAGCTTGCATCCTAAAACAGCTATGGGTATCTGTCCACATGCAGAATCCCAACTCTTGCTCCTCAGTGACTCTGCAATATGCAAATCCCTGGATTCATAAGGGCTGGCGGCTTCAGACAGGGATAAATGGCTGTCCTAGAGGTGTCTGCATCTGACCATAAGCAGAGCTGGAATTCAAGGTCGGATATCCGCTACTGTGAGATAAGGAATCTAACCCAAAGCACTCCACGTTTTTAGAAACTGCAGTATGATTAATGGGAGCTTTCCCTAGATCTGCCTAACAAGCCCTTGGTTTAGGTACTCTTGAAAAGAAAAGGAAAATGCTTCCAATGGCCATTAAGAACACCAAGGTTATAGGGAAAAGAGATGTTAAGCTGCAGAAGAGCAACAGTCTTTGTTCCCTGCAGCCACCCTCACTCCATTTTTTTTAGCTGGTTTGTGCTCCTATCATATCCAGAAACTGCAATCTCTGCATGTACTGATGCTCAAGCTTTCCTCTTTGAAGTAGAGAAAAGTTTTTAGCTTAATTTTTTTACATCTGTAGTGCTGCAGTGCAAGGAGAATAAAACACAGACAAGCAGAGAATCAGTAGTACCCACATGTTTTTTCTATCAACAGAGTAAAGTACCTGAGGACCTCTGGGTCCTTGGGACTGTCAATGCAGACTTACACTTTGTGGGACAGAGACCTCAATTTTGGTAGAGTAATTGACTTCCAGTTTACAAGGGCTAAGCAAGAGTACCTTTTCCCTTATCCCAGGGATGTTTAACCCACCTTCCTGAGCAGTTCATCTGAACCACAGCAGTTATTCTGAAGGCTGATTTGGATGGCAGATAATGAGTTAATCAAAAAGTGGTCATGTTAGATTTCTTGAGCAGTGAAAAGACAGTGTCTGAAAAGGAAAGGACAGCACCACTGTATACATATTTCCACATGAACCTATTTCTTTTTGATTGGTATTTTGTAAAATTGCAACACTGATCGAAAAGGAGTCTGGGGCTCTATCCCTGATCTGATACATGTCCTTTTACAACAGGTTCTGACACATTATCTTTCCTATATAACAGTATAAATAGTTGTATATAGTTCTGTAATAATAAAAAGCATTTTATATACATAAAATGTAATTACTTAGGTAAAGTCCCTTTCCCTGTCTCCATATGAGCAGGTGAGATCCAAAAATAACAGAGATTGCTGTCTGTTGTTATCTTAAATTGTTCCTATAGATCGCAACTCTCAGATAAAGGTAATACATCTCACAGTCATCCTCTATATTTGCTCCTAACTCCAGCTGACTCAAGTGCTTGGGTTAATCTGGAAAGCCACACCAGTAACTGGCACATCAGTTGCACATGATCGAAACACAAATAGAAAAAGACTTGTTAATAAATTAAAAATAGATCATAGAACACAGGCCATTATATAAACAATAATTTTAATTTATTTTAGTTGGGAATAGGGGAACTGCTGAATACCAAGGAAGCTAAAGCAACAGACATAAGGTCATTTAAATTAAGTTCTTAAATTGGGAGTCAGGGAAGTAATTCATTAACATGTGAGATATCAGGCTGGGAATTTGTAGCATCAGCCTATCTCTAGAAGAGTGGGTAAGGTGTCATTATATGTGATCATTCTTCATAGTGTACTGGTTTATCAGAGATCGTGTGGTCTGTGCAATATGAGCTCTCACTACAGCCTGTGGCTGTTACATCTTTGTGGTAAAGTGGTGTGAAGTGGTTGGGATAATTAAACGAGATTTATGCAGCATGAGGATACTGAATGTAAGAATTAATGAGAACCTAATGCACCCTGAAGATAAGCCCAAGCTGGTGTTCCTCCCTGGAGGGTTTACAGCCAGGGCCATGCAGGAATGTCAGGCTTCAGATGATGCTTGGCTATGTCATTGTAATATTAAAAGCGGATGGCTCTGCTAACACAGTCTGTAGCCTTTAAGTAGCCAAACAGTTCTTTTTCTTTCGATAATGGAAAAGTTACTAAAGAAAACAAGAGATTGGTAACTTCTTGGTTTAGTGTGTGTCTCTAAATCCTCTCATGTAAATGAATATATTCAATGATAGGTATGTACATGTGTTTCTAAGATTGTGATACCCTCTGCTGGCAAATATGTGAATGTATAAAGCAAGCATCTTTACACAAGCAGCTTTACAATCAGGGCCGAAACATGGCCTTAAGAAAAATAGGGTTCCTTCTGTCAAGACAGTTTCCTCTTACAAATGCAACACCATCAAAAGGGAAGTGTTTCATAGCAACCTATCAATTTTGACAAATGGAAAAAAATCATGTTTTTTCTGGACGAGTTAAATTTACTTTGAAGTAAAATGCTTTAACATTACAGAGAAAAATAGTGATTTTTTTTTTCTGGATTCATGCAGTACTTCATTAGCCACACACCGTTATGTTTTGTGCCTGGCATAGAAGCAGGTGATAACCTTCTCCTGTAAGTCTGCATGGCAATATGTTATTGATCATGATTCATTTACTTACCAAAGGTATTTGGCAGAAAGGCTGCCCTGATTTAATAGTTCCCTGAATTTCTGATTCTTTCTTTCCATCTTTGTTTTCCTAACTTTCTGTCTAATAATATAAAAGTGCTGAAAGTTTTGGAATGGGCTGGCAAGGGCTGTAAGCCCAGAAGCAAACATGCTCATGCCATATCAAAGTCCCACCACTTTTAAGCTTCTTGAAAGGGAAGGAATTGATTCCAGATTCTCAGGATGTGGCAAGCTGTGTTTAAAGAAAGTGTGTGCATTTATTATTTCAAGTCAGTTCAATTAGAACTTGATTCCTTCCACCCCCTGTGCCACTCGATAATTTTATAACAGGCCTGTTTGAAGGACTCATCCCCTCATCGTGGGATTAGATCCGTGTCTCGCTTGGGTAGCAAAACCGGGTTATGCAGTTTTCAGGCCCTTGTGCTTGAAATGATAACTGCTCCTTCACAAAAGGACAGGAGTCCTTGGGAGGTTTCAGTGGCAGAAATCTTGAAAATTATTTCCTGGATGCTCTTGCTCAAGTTTTCACAGCCAATTTGAGTGTTTCTGGTTGCTTGGTGATTGTTTAATATCGAGAAGGAGATCTTGTCTGAGCACAGAAAAGTAAACCAAGATCTTGTGTGTTTACTTTGGTTCCTTTGGTTGACGCTGAGCGAGTCACTCAAGCTCTGTACAGTCACCAGGGTAGCAACAATTTATGTATTCATTGGAGGAGGATGAAATTTAATTAACTGGAATGCTGTGTACATATACAGTATCCTGCTTATTATTTTTTCCTGTGAGACTGTGTACTGCAAACCAAGGGGACAACCTTGAGTAACCACCCATTAACTGTCCCGCCTTAAATTGTAAGGTCTTTGGCTCGCAGAATGAGCCCTTTGATTTCATGTATGAGTTGAAAAAGTTGTTCTTGAATTGAGTTCTTAGGGGCACCCAGCTCCAGTGTGGGTGGGCGCATTCATTAGTGGTACGGAAGGATATTTCACTGTACGGCTCTTCAGAAGGCGCTGAGCTGGGAGACCACCAACATGATTTCATGCAGAGGAATTTCCAGCCGTCTGACCAGAGGACTCCACTTGTCTGGTTTGGATTTACATCAAGAGGCCAAAAATAAAAGCACATTTAAATCATTAACTCACATGTGATTAAATACCGTTCACCTCTTTCAGTAGCTCCATCACACTTTGTGGTTAAGCGCG